TGCGATTTTCCAAATTCGTCGCGATAGTCTATAGTAAATTAAAAAAAGATTTTGTTTCTTAAGAATTTTCTCTAAAAAGATAGTATCCGCGCGGACGTGACGACCACGACCCGAGACGAGACGGCGGCGGCGACGGCGCACGAGAGTCCCCCTTGTTCTCTTTTACTCAACAAGGAAATGGGAAATCCAAGCCTTAAATACACTTCCCAATAGTGTTTCCAATACTATGTGGGATTGAGCATTACTCAACACTTCAAAGAAAATATAGCAATTTTTGTAACATGTTTCCCACTTAATCCACATATCTAAAACATTTTATCATTTTATCAAGAGAATTAAAAGAGTTGTAGATATCTACATTTCAATTCAAACTTATACATATAGTTTTAATATGATAAAATGTTTTAATATTTTTAGATATGGATTAAGTAGGAAACATGCTACAAAAATTACTATATTTTCTTTGAAGTGTTGAGTAATGCTCAATCCCACATAGTATTGGAAACACTATATGGAAGTGTATTTAAGGCTTGGATTTCCCATTTCCTTGTTGAGTGAAAGAGAACAAGGGGGACTCTCGCGCGCCGCCACCGCCGCCGTCTCGTCGTCTCGTCTCGTCTCGTCTCGTCTAGTCGTGGTCGTGGTCGTGGTCGTGGTAATACGTGTCTTCGACACGTCCGCGCGGATACTATCTTTTTAGAGAAAATTATCGCAACGACACTGTAGACTATCGCAACGCGAAATGGAAAATCGCAACGACACTGTAGACTATCGCAACGCGAAAAGGAAAATCGCAACGCGATTTCCAACTATCGCAACGCGAAATAGAAAATCGCAATGCGATTTTCAACTATCGCAACGCGAAATAGAAAATCGCAACGCGATTTCCAACTATCGCAACGCGAAATAGAAAATCGCAACGCGATTTTCAACTATCGCAACGCGAAATAGAAAATCGCAACGCGATTTCCAACTATCGCAACGCGAAATAGAAAATCACAATGCGATTTTCAACTATCGCAACGCGAATTTGCGATTTTGTTGGTCATTTTGGCGAATCTAAAAAAAATTGGTTAAAATCGTATATTATAAGGCATTTTTGGTCACTGAGGCGATTTTCTCCTTAACTTATTGGCGGATGCAAAGCATATCTAGAGTGGATACGTGTCACCCTGAAATCTAAATTTTTTATATTATTTATTCATTTTACTATGGATTTGCATCCTGAAATTTTATTTGTGTCTCCCTAATAATAAAAATATTAATGTGTGTATCACCCTTGAAAATATTTGTGGATCGGTCGGGGATTACTTTCCGCAAAATGCCTCCATTGCTCAGGCACCTTCTGTTGAATCATTCTCTTATTAGTCCTGTTAATTGCTTCCTCATCATTTTCTCCTCTTCCACTGAATCGGCAACGGCACCGACATGGGAATTCTTGGCGACGAAAGCGAGTCCAGTTGCTTCACCACCGCCCTGATATGTGAGAATTGAGATAAGTCTGTCGGCCCCAACAACCAGTCGCTGAAGGGCAACGTGTTGGGCACCTGTAGGCATCGTATTCGTAGCTGGAACAATCCACCCGAACTTGCTCAAACTATCCGATATCATGAACACCGTATTTACGGCTGTCTATTATCAGTGCAGTTTTGCTCGATGCTCTTGTATCCCCTCGACAAACTTGTAAAGAGATAACCATCACCAATGATCAAAATGAAAAATATTTTTCACAGAATTTGTATGAAAATTTTAGCAGATAAGCTGATACTACTGAGCTATGGTTTGTCTATAGCCTGCAACAATATGAATTCTACGCCTAATGCTACCTTTATAGATCAGTTTAAGGTGATCGGATCCAAGGTAGTTGATCCACGTAATCCTATTACTTCATCAAATAACATTCGGTTGAAATAATATAAATAAATTACGCTGCAGACGTTGGTGACGAAAGATGGAAGATTGATTTTGAACATGCAAAAACATTTCTCCAACTTGCACATTGCTAGGCCAACAAGCAAAATGATTCATCGGTCAACTCGCCTGTCATGGCGATTCGTTTTGGTTAGGATACAGGGAAAGGTTGGCTGATAGCTCTATCAAGAAAGTTGCAGGACCTTTGCTTCCTCCAGAGTGATGGCACAGGTTGCTGAGTGGTGGTTCTTTACTCGTCTTTGGGTGCTATTTCAGCTATTTTAGGTAGATTTGTGTTGTGGGATGTCCTCACATTCTGCTAGTTGAAGGGCTGTTGCCCTTTTAAGAATGGATTAGCGGATTATTTCTAGATTGTTTTGGATATTGGGAGGTTCTTAGGATGCGCGGATTTGATAGAAGCTTTTTTGCTGTGTGTGGTTGGGTGGATGTAAGGTCGGGTGTTGGTTGTAGTTGGGAAAATATTTGTGGATGTGAGGTTTTTAACTAGACTCTTAATTTAGACTTCAATGAATAAATTCCTTTCGCCGAGTAAAAAAAATCACATGTTCTATAGTTTCAATCTAACTGACTCGAGTCGCACAGTGCGAGATCTTTTCTAGGGCCCATTAAACAAGAGGGATTCTTGTTATGAAAACCTTTGTTCAATACATTTTACAAGTAAGAACGAAAGGGGGCAGGTCAGCAGGTGTTTGACTGTTAAAAGAAACAGATTAGTTTATTAATCATACATACACGTACCAATTTCAAGCTATTAAGCTGTTAATGTTAGTTAGGTTTGAAAGGTTAACCATAACCTAAAACCCCCCGATATAATTGCATTACTTTACAACCTCATCACGTAATTTACAAGTACACCCAACCCAAAACAATATCAAACTCCTTTTCATTTTTATTAAAGCATGCCAATGCCATCACACATGTGTCTAAATAATTATATGAAATTTCTTTTGATACACATATTATATGACATTTATACTCTAGTCTTACATATTTAAATAGTGTATGTCATATTTAGGTTTCGAGCACATGGATGTGAACGTTCAATGTCAAAAGATTAAAAATTATCTTTGAACATATATTGTCTTGTACTTAACCAGATTAATCAATATACTCAAACTTGACCATTGTTAGGTTGGATGAAATAGTTTTGGAAACGAAGGGGAAAGGGTATATTTGTGATAAGGTAGAGATCATGTAATGGTAGATGGGTGGGTTATAAGTAGAGGGTTGTAGGTTAGAAAGTTGAGAAGACGTTGAAAGGTAAACGAAATTCAGCCCACCAAGCAACCTCTCTTTCCCTTGTTTTTTCCCATTTGTGTGTGAAAAACTTGATTCTTTACTCAAACCCTAATGTTAAAAGCATTCGTTTCCCAAAACGTTGGCATCAATCACCGCTATGCTCCAACTCTCTAACGGAAAACACTTGCCCATTTTCTACTTTCTGTCCTTCCCTTTCCATATATATATATATACACATACACATATACCATCTCATCTACTTTCTGTTATAGTCATGTTATCCTTCACACTCTACCCTCTGATCTAAGTACTTCTATTCCCTTTTAATTAATCTTCATCAGATGTGCAGCAGAGGTCAATGGAGGCCTGCTGAAGATGAAAGACTTCGCCGGTTGGTGGTACGTTACGGTCCTCATAATTGGAAAGCCATAGTCGAAAAGCTTCAAGGGAGATCAGGTACTACTATGATTGTTTCATTTTTTGGAGCTAGGGTTTGTATTGGACATTCGAAATATATGATGAAACATTGATAAATTAGATTCATTACAATTTAAATACGAATTGTTTAAAGTGGTTATGAGTATCTATCAATATAAGCGAATCAAATTAAAGTATAAAGCAGAAATTATTTATTAAGATAATTAAATAAATATCAATTATGTTTATTTTAAAATACGATAAACTCTAAGAAAAGAAAGAAAGAAAAAATAAATAATAAAAGAGAAAGGAAATAAAATTGTATGATTGATGATTAATACAAGACTAATATTATGAAAGTGATATAAAAAATTTAGCGCAAACGAAGTGAGAAAATATAGAAAAATGACTAAAGATTTTTTTTTTTATTGTAGTAATTTGACACACGAATAATTTGTAAAAATTAATTGAACAATTTATATTACCACTAGCACAAATTAATAAAAATATATTATTTAAAGTTTATGTGCAATCAATAATTGCATTAACTTACACACATGATAATATCATATTTGAGTTAATTGTACGTTATGTCTCCAAACTATGACCCTCATTTTAAATTAATCTTTAAACTTTTAATATTTTAATTTTATCCTCAAATTACGACTCTCATTCTAAATTACTCCTTAAGCATTTGAACATTCCAATTTCATCCCCAAACTACAAATTTCATTCTAAATTGGTCCCTAAACTTTCAAAACTTCCATGCTCATCCCTTAATTCATTCAAATATGTAATCCATTTCAATAATAGTTTAACCTAAAATTTATTTTTTAAAATATATAATAATATAACTTGACCTAATGATTTTATCAACAAGAGATGTGATTAGTATATACGTATAATTTAGGATAAAATTGAAATATTCAAAAAGTTTGAGACCAATTTAGAATGAAGATCACAATTTGGGGATGAAAATGAAATGTTAAAAATTTTGAGGACTAATTTATAATGATAATAATAGGTTAAGGATAAAATTGAAATATTTAAAAGTTCAAGGACTAATTTAAAATGAGAATCATAAATTAAGGACGTAATATAATTATTCAAGTAAAATTTTAAAGGTAAAATTTTAAAGTGCTTAAAATTCAAACTAAATTGATGTGTGAGTTGAAAATGGATCTATTTGTACAATACTAATACTTTGATTTGAAGTATAGGGATCAATTTAAAATATAAATGATAGTTAGGGACATTTAGTGGAATTAACCCAAGTTTATTTTATTTTTGGGCTTGCGTTTCTTTACATGTTTATTAGACCCAGGACTCAATTTGGGTCAGACCATATAATTTCTATTTTTATTTATTTATTTATTTTATTTATATATATTTACATTATATTATAGAAAAGTTCGAGAAAGCCCTAAAACCCTTCCGAGCTTTCAATTTCTTCATTAGCAGAAACACTCGCTCTCTCCGCCATTTTGATTCCACCTTTGTTATTTGAAAAAGAAAGGGCTAATCGAAGATGTCGCTTCGAGTGTTGAACCCTAATGCCGAAGTTCTCAACAAATCGGCGGCGCTGCACATGAACATCAACGCCGCTAAGGGGTTGCAAGACGTTCTCAAAACGAATCTGGGTCCCAAAGGCACCATCAAAATGCTTGTTGGTGGAGCTGGCGATATCAAGCTCACTAAAGATGGAAACACTCTATTGAAAGAAATGGTCCTTTCCTTTTTCCCTTTTTTCCCTGCAAAATTTATACCTGTCTCTCTCTCTTTTTGCCTTGTTATTTGTTTGATAGGAAGAGGTTTCCTTCTCTTAACCAGATTTTGAATGCTTCTTTTGCTATTAGTGGAAGATTGTTAAATAGTTAGGAAAGGTGTGGAATTTTCACGTTTGAGAACGGAAATGGTTGATTTCGTACGATTTACTTAGTTGTTTGATTGAGAAAATGTTTCAGCAAATTCAAAACCCGACTGCTATTATGATAGCAAGGACAGCTGTTGCACAAGATGACACTAGCGGCGATGGAACTACATCTACTGTGCTCTTCATTGGCGAGCTAATGAAGCAATCTGAGCGCTACATTGACGAAGGTTAGGACTCGTTTGATTGATTTGAATCCATGTTAAAGAACTGCTAAACTCTGCACTTTTGTATTAGATTTAAGGGTTTTTTTAGTTGGATGGCATTGGGATAACTGGAGCAATTGTTTCAGTCATGTTACTGGCTGCAAGCTTGTCTTTGTAAGGAAAATTTAAGAAGACTTTAGTAAGATTCTTTAGGTCAAGCTCATGATATTGCCCACTGAAAATGATCAAGGAAAGTTTTAATTTGAAAATCCAAATGGTTGTAATCAACAATTTTGACATAACATTTCTGCATGTACATACAAACACAAACATATTCATACATATATTTCCTTTTCTCTTTATCAATTATACGCTTAATGATAAAGCTTTGGTTTAGGGATGCATCCTCGTGTTCTTGTTGATGGCTTTGAAATTGCTAAAAGGGCTACCCTTCAGTTCCTTGAGAAGTTTAAGACTCCTGTGGTGATGGGTTCTGAACCAGATAAGGAGATCCTGAAAATGGTTGCCAGAACCACACTAAGGACTAAGGTATGTTCCAATTTTCTACACTCCCTCCTTTACTATACTATCTGTTTTCAATGACATCTGCTTTATTCCTTTACTATATTATCCGTTTTCGATGACATCTGCTTTATATGCTTGACTATTCGTATTCTCACACAGTTGTATGAAGGATTGGCTGATCAATTGACAGACATAGTTGTTAATGCTGTAAGTGAGAGAATCGTTTGTTTCTTCTACCTTTTCTTCTTATCACTTTGGTTAAATAAACTTTTATTTGATTCCACAGGTACTCGGCATCCGAAAACCAGATGAGCCTATTGATCTCTTTATGGTGGAAATAATGCACATGCGACATAAGTTTGATGTAGACACGCGGCTGGTATGTTTGTATTTTGTGCTTTTAATCATGCACTGTATTCATGCCACCTTTCTCAATACGTGTGCACTTGTTTAAACTATTCAAGATTGTAGTATTCAATGTTGTTTGTGGTTGTTGCTGTTACAGTATGATGCCAAGTTCATATTGCTTATTAATCATACATTTATTGACAATTTTGAAATTTTTTTATCGATGTTACTCCTTTGAATCATGAGGCTTCTTGTTTTCTAGAGAACCCCCCTCCCGCCGAGGGGTAAAGTAGTTCCCTAGATTCTAACCTGTCAATTAGCCCATAGTTGTCAGGCGCATTATTATTTTCCCTTAAAAATAGCTACAGTTAAAGTACTTTTGATCTTTAATTTCATGAAATAATGTTATCCTCAGTGAACATATGCAAATTTGGCCATATCAAATAGAACCTAGAAAGCTTCTCTTTTCCTTTTTTAATTGATCACAGATAATATTGATAAGAAATCATGAAATTTGTTGGTATTGTGCATTTATTAATATAGCTTTGATAGATTTAACTTCCCCCCAAATGTTACTCACTTTCCATTCTCTTAATTGAAGCAAATTTTGTTTGTCTAATGAAGCTTGAATACTTCTGTTTTGTTTCTACTTTGTTTTTTGTATGTGTGTGCACGTGTTGGTGTGCTTCTATATTATGCAGCTTCGTATGTTTACTTTTTCTGGTTACCCTAGGTGGAGGGACTAGTATTGGACCATGGTTCTAGGCATCCAGATATGAAGCGAAGAGCAGAAAATTGTTACATCTTGACATGTAATGTATCATTGGAGTATGAGAAGAGGTACTTACGTAAGCATGCCTTTTGCTCCATTTTTTATTTGTTTGCTATGTGAGGGGTGCAAGGGGAGGGGGAACTAGTTGGTTTGGAAAAATTAGTCTGATTATCCTTTTATGTGTCCGTGGTTAACACCGATATTAAATGTTCTTTCATGGAAATAGAGTCTTGTGCTAAGCTTCTCATTTGGCGACTGCCACTGCATTCCTTCCATTATCCTCAATGTGGATGTATGTTGTTGTGATAGATATCATGTAACTAATTTTTTAGCCCTCAGTGAAATAAATGCAGGCTTCTTCTACTCAAATGCTGAGCAGAGAGAGGCAATGGTTGCAGCTGAAAGGCGCTCAGTTGATGAAAGAGTCAAAAAAATTATTGAGCTAAAAAATAAGGTAGCTTTTGTTATGCCTCGTATACCCATTGTAATTGTGGCATTGGTGTAGCAGATATATATAAACACTTATGATATTCCTACTCCTCTTGGCCATCGTAGGTTTGTGCGGTCACTGAAAACAACTTCGTTGTTATCAATCAAAAGGGCATTGATCCCCCCTCTTTGCATCTTCTTCAACAAGAAGGGGTAAGCTATGGATTTTTTTTTCTTTCAATCCCTATTCCAACTTCATATATTTTCATAATGTCTCACTCTTCGGTAGTTGTGTATAGCTTTCTTACAAGTGTTGCAATTTATCAATTTTCTTTCAATATAGAAGAAGCATCAGACACAAGGCTGACATGATTATGATTTTTTTTCTTCCATTGAAGTGTTGTATACATAACTATTTTTATTTTTTAATGGTTTTTATTAAAGTTTGTCTCTCATGTGTTTTATTGCAATTTGCTGATTTATGGTTTTGTAGATCATTGCCCTCAGAAGAGCAAAGAGAAGAAATATGGAAAGGCTTGTTTTGGCTTGTGGAGGAGAAGCTATAAATTCTGTTGATGATTTAACCCCTGACTGTCTTGGCTGGGCAGGTCTTGTCTATGAGCACGTCCTTGGGGAAGATAAGTATACATTTGTGGAAAATGTAAGACATCCACATTCATGTACAATTTTGATAAAAGGTATGTAGAACTGTTTTCCATTTAATTTGTACTAATTTGATATCTATGCAGTTAGTGCTGCTTATAGAACAGTTAGATTGCAGTTTATATAATATTCATGCTATCATTAATAATATAGGGCCAAATGACCACACAATTGCCCAAATTAAGGATGCTGTTCGTGATGGGCTGAGAGCTGTTAAGAATACCATTGAAGATGAAGCAGTTGTTTTAGTAAGTTTTGCTTGTTTAGCATTTATTTGAAATGGAGCTCATAGTCTGTCTTTAAGTTAGCGTCAGTCTAAGAAAATGACAGGTGCAAGCAGCCCTTGAACCCTGTAATTTAACTATGAACTATAAAGGCAGAAGTTGAGACAGAATTATTTGGTTCGGGTTTTACACAGTGCAACTTTTTATGACATATGATATATGGATGTACTTGTGCTTCAGGGTGCGGGAGCTTTTGAAGTTGCAGCTAGACAATACCTAATTAATGAAGTAAAGAAAAGTGTTCAAGGGGTAAGTCTGTTATATTCCCATCTACAATTGGTGAAATGACGTGAAATATTTCTAATGTTCATAAATTTGGAACAGCGTGCCCAATTAGGTGTTGAAGCTTTTGCAGATGCCCTTCTTGTGGTGCCAAAGACACTTGCTGAAAATGCTGGACTCGATACTCAGGATGTCATAATTGGTCTTACGGTACGACTAATTTTGTCTGTTTTACTGTTACGTTTGACCTCATCTGGAAACTATGAGGAGAAGAAAATGTTGAGTTGAGCATTGTCTTTGACTGTCAATTCAGGGGGAGCATGACAGAGGCAATGTTGTGGGTCTAAACCATCAAACAGGAGAACCTATGGACCCCCAAATGGAGGGTATATTCGATAACTACTCTGTTAAACGCCAAATTATAAACTCTGGGTATGTAAAAGCTTTCTGCATGTATATTTCCATTTTGACCGATTTCCTGCATCAGATGTTCATTAGGTCAGCACGTTTAGTACATAAAACCATAAGAGGTTGCGTGTATTGCAGGCCTGTAATCGCTTCACAGTTGCTGTTGGTCGATGAAGTGATCCGCGCTGGCAGAAACATGCGGAAACCAACTTAGGCCTTGCCGTTTACACTGTTTTTGGGTTGATACATTATGGCCTTTGGTATCATGTTTGATGGGAGATTTTGTAGTGTATCCTATTCCTATTACTAAAGTGGGGTCATGTATTGTTCCTTCGTGATCTGTTTTGGAGGACATTTCCTTAAGTAAATGTTAATGGTTTGAATTGGAATTGGGAGGTGTCTATGATTTTGAAATCACTCTTAAAATCAAATCACAAAACTCGGAATGACTGAACCCACCTTCACCTCAAACCTCTACATTGGGAGTTGAACACGATGGCCATTATTAGGGGTGCACAAAAAATTCGAATATCCGATTTTGCGAAAAAAATATCTGAAACCGGATTTGGGAAAAACTGGTTTTTTTTAACCGGATCGGTTTTTTTTAAATCGGTTATTTTAACCGGTTTGGAGAAAAAAATCTAGACTGATTTTTTTACCAGATAAAAAATCGGTTTGAAAAAAATCGGTTAAAAAATCAGTTTTTATCCGGAAAAAAAAAATTGGTTTGGGTTTAAAAAATTAGCCGTTGGGGGGGATTTTGTGACCGTTTTTGATCGTTTTTTCTTTAAAAAATTACCATTTTATCACCCTAAACATGTATAAATAGGTTGGGGATGTATTTGGTTGATTACAAATTTCTCAAATCTTATTACACAACACTTAAACATCTCTCAAATTTTATTTTTGTAATTTTTTGTTCATCATGAGTAACACGGCTGAATCTTCCGTCGGGGGAAACCTTGAAGTCGTGAGAGTGATCGAACACACTCGAAACAAAGACATTTGGGATCACTACGATTTATGTGAGATGTCAAATGGCTCGAGGAGGGCGCGTTGTAAACTTTGTCTAAAGTTTCTTGCATCGGAAGGAAACACAACGTTGAAGAACCATTTGACAAAATCATGCAAGGCACTTCGCTCAAGATCGGATCCTAGTCAATCGAATCTTACACCACAAGGTTTCACGAAAAATTACGAGAAGCGTTTACAAAGTTCGTGATTACAAAAGCATTACCGTTCGACCACTTTGATGATGAAGATTTCACGACAACAATTCAACAACTAATGCAACCACGTTATACTCAAGTAAGTCGTACTACCCTTAGAAGAGATGCTATAAAAATGTGGCGTACGGCGAGGGAAAAAATGATTTTAGGATTCCAAGAACACCGTTATGGTGTGTCGCTTACATGTGACGTTTGGAGTTCCCCTCATAATACCGGAAATTCTTTTTTAGCCGTTACGTCACATTGGTTAGATCAAGATAATTGGCAAATGATGAAAAGAACAATCGCGTTTGAATTATTCGGTGAGCCGCCTACCGGTGCTAATTTATTTACACTTTTAAAAAGGGTAATTTGTCTTTATAAATTAGAAAATAAAGTTTTTTCTATATCTTTTGATAATGCATCGAATAATACAAACGCGGTTCCAAGATTGAAAATATTACTTTCACCGATTTTAGACGGTGCGTTTTTTCATACCCGTTGCGTTGCACACATAATTAATTTATCCGTGCAAGCCGGTTTAGAGGTTATTGAGCCGATTAGATTAGAATTTAAAACAATGATAAAATCGGTTCTTTGTAACAACAACAAAAGACTAAATGATTATAAACGATTTTGTAAGTCCGTTAATAAAAAAGCTTTGGGTCCTAATTTGGATTGTCCAACTCGTTGGAACTCAACTTGGATGATGATGCATACTGCCTTAAGGCAAAGGGAAACATTGCAAACATTTCACGATCGACTTTTCGAGAGGGGTCATGTCCCAAACATTTATCCGGATTCGAGTTGGGAAACTATAGCCAAAATAACCGATTTACTTGAGGTTTTTAAAAATGCAACAACTTTTTTATCCGGTGTTTATTACCCTACTAGCCCGTTGGTTCTTAATCAAATATTTTTGTTGGCTACCCGACTAAATGACTTTGAATTTGAAACCGAAGTTTTTCAAGAAAATTGCTTTGCAATGAAGGAAAAACTTTTAAAATATTTTAAAGAGATTCCCCCCATTTTTACTTGTGCCGCCGCTTTAAACCCACCGTTAAATGTTGGTGGGGTTGAAACACTAATTGAACAAATTGCGTTTGCTTTTAATCTAACCGATGATGAACCCAACTTTGTCCAAAACCAAATAAATTATTTTAACAAATGTTTTCGAGACATGTTTGCAATTTATTTAACTAAATACGGATCAAGTAGTGTAATACACGATCAAATGAGAATGAATGCGGAATCATCTAATAGACGTCCAAGTAACATAAATTTGAATCTTTTTAACACTCTTGTAAATTCCCAATCCAAACGATCACGTACTACCACCCCAAGTAGCGAGTTGGGAAATTACATGTCATGCGATTTTCTATCAAAAATGACATTTGAAGAGTTTGAAAGTTTAGATATTTTGACTTGGTGGAAAGAAAAGGAAGCACAATTTCCGATTCTAGCCGCCATGGCCCGTGATTTACTAACCGTCCAAGCTTCTACGGTAGCTTCGGAATCCGCTTTTTGTTAGTGGCAGGGTTATATCGCAACGGAGATCAAGACTAAGTCCCGAGTCGGTGGAAGTATGCATTTGTTTAAAGGATTATTTGGATGGAGCGGCTCATAAGCAACATATCACCACCCTAGAAGATGCAATTGATGCCGATTTGGAAGCAAACTTACACATTGAAGAAGTCGAACTTGGAATATCCCCTCCAAACGAAGAAGGTGAAGATGATGAAGAAGAGATGGCAATGTAGTTTATTTTATAACTTTATTTCAATTATCGTAAACTTTGTTTCAATTATCGAACTTGAAGTTTTTAAGTATTTGAATTTATCGAACTTGAAAGTTTTTAAGTATTTGAATTTATCAAACTTGGAAGTATTTAAGTATTTCAATTATGTTGAGTTAATTAAGTATTTCAATTAAGTATTTGAATTTATCGAACTTGAGGTTTGATGCTTTCTCTTTGATTCTCTCTTGATTCTAGTTGCTTGATGTTTCTTGTCTTTTATCAATGGCTTCTAAGCTTGCTTAAATACACCTTGAATCACTTCTGAACGTTAGTGATAATTAATGAAGATAATATAGCCGTTTAAGTGTGAAAACATTTAATAAAAATGTTTGGAGCGTGGGGGAATCGGTACCCTCTCATAGGGAATCGGTTTCCTCTCATAGGGAATCGGTTCCCTAAGTGTAAAATTCAAATATTTCGACCGTTGAATAGGGGGGAATCGGTACCCCCTATGGGGGAATCGGTTCCCTCCGAGCATTCTGGAAATCTCGGAGCCAAACCATTCAGTGAGGAATCGATACCCCCTTGGGGGGGAATCGGTTCCCTATGAGCAATCTGGAATATTAAAATCGGTTTTTTTATAATCGGTTTTTTAAAAAAACCGGTTTTTTTAAAACCAAAACCGATTACACCGGTTAGGATATCCGGCCCTCCAAACCGGTTAGAAACCGAACCGGTTATTTTATAAACCGGTTTTTTTTCTATGGGAAAAAACTTGATCGGATAAAAACCGATCCGGATCGGATTGAAATCCGACAAATGTGCACATCTAGCCATTATCACACATCTACATTTAATCTAATCCAAAAATCATAAGGACCAACTCTATAAGGGGCTGCTGCGAAGTTAAAAAAGTTTTAGCATTTTCGGTTACTCGGTCGTTAAATATTTGACGGCGTTGAAACAACGTTTTTTGAGAAACACGAAATTTTCATCAAAACGACGTCGTTATGCATATATACAACAACTCATTTATAACGTTGTTTAGTGAAAAAAATAACGACTGAGCGACCAAAAATCCTAATCGTGTTAAATTCAGTGAGGAATCTGGACAAATTTAAAGTACAGTGAGTGAAATATGAGAGAAAATGATAATTGGTGTAATTTATCCTATTATGAAATGATCATTTTGATATTATAATAATTATATTTTTTTTAACCACCAACCAGTTGGTCTAGTGGGATGAGGCACTAGGTCTCTTAAGTAAGGTAAGAGGTTCGAATCCTAGCGTTTGTGAATAGAGCAAACTGGGTTGGGAGGGTTGCCCTTGCCTTTAAAATACCCGATCTGGATTAGTCGGTCAATAGATCGGATACCAGTGATTAATTCAAAAAAATTATATTTTTTTTATAAATGTAACGATCAATTTTTTGATAAAATTTGATAATTATTTTATATAGTTTAATAAATTTAATAATTATTTTACAATTTCTAAAGATTTATTGAGCAAAAGGATCATTTGAGTATAATTTTGGTGACCTCTAGTGTACTTTACCATTCTTTGATTTATGAGAACATTGAATACCAAATGATTTAAAATAGGATAAAGTACACTAATTGTTATTTAACTATGCTTAAATGATTATTTTATTCAATAAATTTTTAAAAAAATATAAAATCATCATTAAATTTTATCAAAATATTATAATATAATCATTAAATTTTATCAAATTATTACAAAATGATCATTAAATTTTATCAAACTTCTATAATTGCTATACTATCATAGTGATAATTTGTTAATGGATTGATAAATTTAATAATTATTTTTATAACGTTTTATAGTTTAGTGAGTAAAACAATCATTTGAACATAGTTGAATGAGCTTGAGGTATTTTTCCCTTTAGAATATACCTTTGGTATGCTTAAACGAATCCCCGAAGGATCTTCACTGTTGAGCACTTTGATTAGATTATTAATTAAAAAGCTATTGCAAATCTGCAAATCTATGGCCTCATATTCCTACTAATCAACTAATGCCTTACGCTTGATATTATTTATAAATTTTGATTTTTTTTCTTCATTATATATAATTTGTTATTCTCATACTCCGTCAATAGTACACACGCCTGCACAATTAACTATTTTTTTTATACAAATTTGTTATCATTCTACACTTGTAAGTAATATATATTCTTTTAAGTTTTTGGATATATATAAAAATAAATTGTTCTGGCATCGGTACGATATTATTATTTATTTGTTGTATTTCTGGTTCTTAGGTTTTGCTTTGTTTCATCTTAATCTATTCGGATCGTACATCTAATTTTGATGGGTGAGTCTCCCAATTTATATTTACAATAACTCAAACTCGAAATCTAATTAAACATAATAAAATTGCTTACTACTTGAATCAATCTATTTGCTACGATATTATTTATTTTATAAATCATTAATAATTTGAAGTTAGAGAGTAGTTTTCAAGATTTATAACTATAAAAGCTGTATCCATTGACGTATTCTCGTGCAACCCATGTTTTTAATTATTATTTTAGGTTTGTTTGATAGATAACTTTGTTTATTATTATTTTCTTCTAACATATATTTAATTTTTAAAAGAAAATACACTTATTATACAAACTTTTCTTTTTATTTTCTCTTTCTATAAACCTAAACCTAAAACGATCAATTTCAGTGGTAAAAGAATTGTTGTTATTTCTTGAGGTATTAGATTCGAGCACTAAGAACGTCATAGGTGTAAACGTTTAATGTCAAACATTAAACGATTGAGAATTATCTTTGAATAGATATTACCTTATACTTACCCTAGATTAATAAAAAACCTAATCCAAAACTTAAATACACCCTAATCCACCGAAAACCCTAATAAACTCTCTCTCCTACATTAAATCGTTGCCGACAAAATCCATTTCGAATAAAAACTCTTATCAATCGAAAGTTAATATTTGATTCATTAGTTTTATTTGAGTTTTTTTTAACAAGTAATTGACTCATATGATAATAATTTAGGGAAGAATTTAAATTATTATAATTTTTTTAGATATAATTATTAATACTTGATTCATTTGTAGATTATTTTGAATATTGTAGTATAAATATTTTTATCTTAATATTATTTAAAAAAAATTAAATATTAGTTTATATTTTTACAACTATTTTAAGGGAAACATACACATTTAGTACATAAACTATCAGTTTTTGTCCGTTTTAGTATCTAAACTTTCAAGTTTTTTCAAATATATACCTAATGTGTAGTTTTTATTTCATTTTAGTGTGTAACCATTAAAAATTTAACGGACGAGCTTGTCGATCGCTGCGTTTACAGTCGTCGATCGTCGCATTCATTGGCCGATGAAGCCTAGACTTTTTCAACCTACACCTTTCAACCCCTTAAACGTAATTTTAACCTACATTTCATCAAAAAAATATCAATCTTCCCAAATTGATAATGAACTCTTCGACTACTTCATCCTATGATCTCCATCATCAATCGTTTGATGGGCTTAAAACTTGATTCTGTTGGTCGACTCGTCATTCTCTCATGATCCACCATTCAGACTGATCGTTCGTCTACTGGAACTATGGCCCGTCAGTCAGTCTGTTAAGCTTTTAACATCATGATACTAAAATGAAATAAAAACGAACATTAAATATGATTTTGAAAAAATTAAAAGTTTAAATACTTAAATGAATCAAAGGTGATAGCTTAGGTACTAAATACTAGTTGACCCATATTTTAAACATTTAAGCATCATGTAAATATAAAAATTTAAATCCTTCTGCTCCCACGAATATATTAAATTATATAATTTCAAATAAGTTATATAATCGCCAAACAATCCATCAAATTTTAAAATATTGGAGCCCACCTCACCTCTCCATCCTCTCACCTTCCTCTCTAAGCCGACTCTTTCACTTTACTTTCTTACTTATATATATATATATATATCCAAAGCTTCCTTTTCCTTCAAAATCATTTATTTTTCTCCCCAAGTACCTACTTTTTTCCTTCACATGGCAGTAGTTCGTGAGCGACGCCAGATTAACCTCCGCCTCCCGCTGCCTGACGTTTCCGATTGTGGCCCCCGCTTCCCTCTCCCTCTCCCTCTTCCTCCATCTGCCGCCTCAAACGTCACAGCCGCTTCCTCGGTTTCTATCCCTGCAGTGGAGCTCAAGAGACTCGGTGTACTCGGCCATGGAAACGGCGGCACTGTCTACAAAGTCCAACACAAACGGACTTCCAAGATTTATGCACTGAAAGTTGTTTACGGTGACGGCGACCTGACGGCACGTCGACAGGTTTTCAGAGAGAGGGATATTCTGCGGAAGACGGATTCGCCTCACATAGTTCGCTGCTACGAAACGTACGAGAAGCCTTCCGGAGATGTTGCGATTTTGATGGAGTACATGGACGCGGGAACTTTGGATACTGTTCTTCGTAACGAGGGTACTCTCTCGGAGCCTCAACTTGCTCATATAACAAGGCAGATTCTGAAAGGGTTGAGTTATTTACATAGCCATAAGATAATTCACCGAGATCTCAAGCCTTCGAATCTGTTGGTGAACAAGAGGATGGAAGTCAAGATCGCCGATTTCGGAGTCAGCAAGATCATGTCCCGGACTTTGGAATCGTGCAACTCCTACGTCGGAACATGCGCTTACATGAGTCCGGAGCGGTTCGACCCAGACGCTAACGGAGGTAACTACGATGGGTTCCTTGGCGATATCTGGAGTTTGGGGCTTACTTTGATGGAACTTTACGTGGGTCACTTCCCGTTCCTGCCGGCGGGTCAAAGACCCGACTGGGCTACGTTGATGTGCGCGATATGCTTCGGCGAACCACCTACTCTGCCGCCGGGTGCTTCCGATGAGTTCCGAAACTTCATGGAGTGTTGCTTGCAGAAGGAGTCTAGTAAGAGGTGGACAGCTTCCCAGCTCTCGGAGCATCCGTTCTTAATCAAGTATCCGACCGCCGACAGTTGAACAGACCCGACGGCAAACGGATTGTAAATCCTAATACCCGGTTAAACTTTTTAAGGGATATGGGATTAGGTGGTTGAGCTTTTTTGTATAGACAATAACTAAATCTGGAATCGGATTTTTCTTTATCCTTTTTTTTTTGTACATTCTTTCCGTTTAGATTAATTACATTGAAAATTATCAATAATCAAAGGTAGATAATTTCCCTAACTTACTTTTTTGCACGTTTGCTTTTTTAACTTTTGAGTATATTTTCGTAAACGAATGACATGTTGATTGTATGTGTTATGACACGTAAATCTGGGTAAATATACACAAATTTCTTATCAAGTACTTGGGTTGAATTTGCTAAAGTAATAAATTATTCTATGTCTAGGATAATTTAAGTACGTTAAGCCTAAGTTGTCCGACAAAATTTACTAGAAGTATTCATAGGTTATCTCTAATAAAGAACTGATAAAACTATTGTCACAGCAATACCTCTCAGCGTAAACTGTGGTCTTAGAGTGTTATCCATTTTCGTCGCTTGAAACTCTCTTTATCTCTAAAGCAGATTATAACCTCACTATCCCGAATTAGTTCACTTGTTCACGTAGATCTAACCTAACTCTCTCGATATTAGGTATCTACTCTTAGAAAAATGACCATCTCTCAATAGCTCTTACAAAGACTAAGAATTTTATGTTATGACATCAGACAATCTCTCAAAAGCTCTTACAATGTTACGCCATAAAGTTAAAATATTGAACAAAACAACATAAAACATAAACATACTTAATCATCCATTAAACACAATATAAAAGCATCATCCCAACAAATCCAACACCAAATAGATCAGTTCATGGTGTGGCTAAAATCATCCCAAATCGTCATTAAGTACAAACTCATTAAAAAAATATAAGAAATGAAAAACAAAGAGAAGAAAAACTCCCAACAAAGGGTTGCTACCGTGACTTTCAGACCACCACCATGGACCGCTTCAGTCGAATAGCCTCTCTTGAGGGCCTAAAAGCTACTCTAGCGAAGCCGGCTATAGAGGACACCAAGAAAGGAAGAGAGGAGAACAATGGATAAGAAGTTGGTGTGGTTGCCTTTCCAAAGCTTTTAGGGTAGGTAAAAGTGTCTCCTTGGAATCGTGGGCATCGTTTTCTATTTATAGTGAAGAGTTTCTAGGATTTTGTGCCCTTTAAATTCCCTCAAATGCCCTTAAATTCATGCCCAAAATGTGATATAATGGTAGTTGACAGTGATCCCAAATTATCAACAGGGGCAGTGGGTTCACGTGAGGTGCATTGGACAGTTGGTCGCACGACGTCAGCTACTTTATCTTGTACTACGTCCAGACTTGAAAAAAAAACTTGCCCCAACGAAAAATTCCTCACGATCATCATCATCAGTTCATTTGGCCCTCGCTTTAAAATTGTCATGGCAAATAATTCTCTCCTCGATCATTTTCCATCACCTGCACAATCACAACCAACACACAACCCTTTTATCAGCAACACCAATTTTATCAAGAAAAACTAGCTGCGACAAAACTTTCCACCATATGCAATGAAATGCCCTAAATACAACTACATGCAACTAAGATGCTTATGACAATAGCTTTTAGACAATCAATAACTTAAGTAAAAAAAACTCAAAATATAGTCATTTTATGAAGTTATCACATGTTACTGCACGAACCCAGTAGTCTCTGTGGTAAAAAAATTGTTATTATTCATTGAGGATTTGAGTTCGAACATCATAAATGTTAAGAATGTGAGCGTTCAATGTCGAGAGGTTGAGAGTTATATTTAAACAAGATACTACCTTCTACTTACTACACATTTATATAAAAATAATAATGACATGTTACTATTGTAATATTAGAAAGTGTCACACTAAAAACCTTTTAAAAGTAATAAAATATTATATTATTTTACGAAAAATTGAGTTTTTATAACTTTTAGGGTTTCTTATTTTAGAAGTAAAATTTCAAACAAAATAACTTTTTAAAATTCACAAATATATTTTTTTTATAAAATATATCCTATTTTTTTAGATATTTATATTTTAAAAGTTTTTGTAAACTTTTTGTATTATTAGATTTTATCATATAATACTTAGTTTATGAGGTGAAAGTTAATAATATATATATATATATATATATATATATTATTTTGTTAGATGTAAATTTAATTACATTATATAAACCAATTTTAGATTATATACATGCAAAAAAAATACAAAAAGAAAAAAATTCAGGACAATTATAACCCACTAACTTGTAAGTTGTAATGTATCTTTCACTCCCTCTTTCTCTCCTACTGCACGTACTCTTATTTGTCACCCTCGAGATAACACTTGTAGGGTTTTGATGGTTAGATTTTTATTCTTCAAAAATCCACGTAACTGATCAAACAGGAATATATTAGTGGGACCAAAACAATAATTTGACCTATTTTTCTCTACAAGAAAATAACCCACAATTTCCATTTTGAATTGATCATAAATCCTTTGACAATATTATGAATTGCAATTCAATTATTAAATCAAAAGAATAGGGTTAAAAGACGTCCCTCGTTGTATGACTACCTATAATTTTTTTTTTGAAAATATATTATGAACACTCCTTTCCTCCTGATACTACGGACCGTTGTCACGTTTTTGGAGAAATATCATACTGGCAGGGTTTTTTTTTAAAGAGACACTCTACTTTAAAAAGAAAGTAAATTACATCAATCATCACTGAAATTTACTCTCTCTCTCACACATTCACTCACTCTACTTTATATTCATTCAATTTCCTCATTGAATTTAACACAATTTGTATTTTTGGTCCCTCAGTCGTTTTATCACTAAACGGTGTTATAAATGAGTTGTTACATAGATGCAAAACGACGTCATTTTGGTAAAAAATTTGTTTTTATAAAACTGCGTCGTTTTAACACAGTTAAATATTTAACGGCTGAGTGACCATAAATGATAATTGTATTAAATTCAATGAGGAAAATGAACGGATTTAAAATATAGTGAGTGAAATAGGAAAGAATAAAGTTTAGTGATGATTGGTGTAATTTACCCTAAAAAGAAAGAAAGAATAGGACTTAAATTTGAAATATTCAAAGGGTGAAAGGACCAAGAGCATAATTAGACCAAAGAGCTATTCTAGATATCTCCAACGTGAAGTTATTATGGTGGAAGGTGTTAGGCATTGAGTAGAGCTGAGTAGAGCGCCCGTCATAATGCATGACCCGTTGGCTGCTGAAAAGTAAAAACAAAAACACAAGGATGGTGGGAGGGAGATTCCTTTTCCAAGAAAGGATAAATAGAAATATCATCAATGATAATGAAACGGAAAAGGGGACCATTTTGTAACCCAAAAATAGGGGGACCATTTGAATTTAAGTTTAAGAAAAATAAATAAATAGTTGACAATGAAAATGATAATCATCGGTTCTTGAGAGTTTCCATTTGCAAAAAGATACAAGGGGAAATATGAGTAATGGCACGTATATATATTCTAGTTGAGTGATCGGTATTCGATTTGTAGGTCGATTGATCTGGAACCAATGTATTACAAATTTATTATATGAGTAATCTTTTCGATTTATTTTATTTCATTTACAATGATATGGCTCACATATACAACTCATTTCGCTGGACCACTTGGTAATCGACAGTTATGGTACATATATTTTGGTAATATATAATACATAAATCAAAAGGAAAATATTTAGTAAATTCAAAATATATTAATTATCAGAGATTAAATCTGTAATTTACATATAATACAAGGACTAAGCGTGGAATTTAGCACATGAAATATGGATAGTCCTTGAAAGTTTCGATATTGAGAAAAGGATAAAGGGAAAGGATGAGTCATAGCACATATATTTTGATAATTAATAAGAGTGAGGGTAAGTGGATGAAAAGGTGGAAGGATGCATGAACCAGAGCAAGCCAAGCCAAGCTAATCTAAGCCGTCTGTCTAGTAGTAGAGTACCAGCTGCAACAACTGCCCAATCAAATTTTGGTTGCAAGCAAACCATACACATCATTCATTTGTTCATCAATGACGTCTCAACTTCCTGTCACGTGTCAATTGCTAAACTATTTTTAAGGATGTTGTCGTTTCCAATCCACTTGGTTCGTTAAATCTAAAGAACAAGACTATTTGTTGTGTCCCGTAGGTAGCCAGTTGAATAGTCTATTTGACATTGAATACTTTATTTTTTATATTTCTTGTGCTCGAGTTTAGTATCTTTACAAATAACGATAATTTTTTTATCATTAAGATACTCAATTTGTATATATATTTTAAGTATTAAATATCTTTGAATGCAACATAACATATCATACATCCAGAGAAGAGATAACTGAGGTACCACAATTTTACATCATATATTATAAACTTGGGTTACAAACTCTTCGATATTGATGCTAGAGAGATTTTGGAAGCATGGGGGATTGATTGGTAATGCCAATCAACCACGTTGTTCACAAGTTTTTCTGCATCTAATGATCCACAGCATTCGATGACTCTCGTTTCTGTTGATCCCTCACTTTGAACTATTGGTTTCAGCTTCCTGCAGCACAAGTTTCGAATAAAGCTCAAACGAATTCGGAATAGATATGGATTAAACCCTCACACGATGAGATTTGAAGCCAAAACCTTAGAATATTTCGACACAACACAAGAAAAGGATGAAAATAAATTACCAGAAAGACATCAGGGGAGAAGGGATTAGCTTCGGTGAGGTCCCTGAGTTGAGAATGCATGCCATTGATGAAAGCTATCGTTTCCAGCTGAGGTTCTTCCATGGCTTCCTTTAGCTTGGCCAATGCCCAGCAATATCCTTCCTGCATGCATGCCAACGTGCACGTTTAACAATATCCAAATTTACTGCTTCCTCTACCTTTGATTCCATAGTTTAACATTTATAGAAACCTCAAAAAAGAAAAGAAAAAAAATCCAACTTTTACGTATTATGAACTAATACACAAAGAATATATGACAAATGGATGAGTATATATGAGAGGAATTTTGAAATAAAAGAAAGAATGTACCATGAATAGGTCTAAGTCTGATTGGTTTAGGTGCATGCTGCTTGAACACGGATTCTTCTTGATATTATTGCTACTATTATAAAGCTCAGTCTGCCTTTGATTTCCCTTGCTGCTTGTGCCACTGTTGTCAATGCCACCAACCTAATCAAAGTGAAAGATATATAAATAAAAAATTCTCAACTTGCTACCTGCTATATGAAAAAGGAGTCTTAACGCCTGTGCCACTGTATATTAAAGCATAGCCTACGAGAATGATGGTTTACACGGCGGTTCAACGAGCAGTACTGTTCGAAGAAGGTAAGGAGAACGAATCCGCCTAAAGAAGACTCTCTCACGAGCTACTGATCTTTAGTATTTATAGTGGAAGGTCACGCAGAGGGAGGAGTGTCCATGAAACCCACACGTGTCCCTTAATCCATGTTTCATCATGGTTAATTCTTACTCCCTTAAAACCCTTTAAAATTTTCCCTCCATTAAACACAGTTTTATGAAACAATGAAGCCGAACACGAGAAGCATGCACTGGCCTATATAATAAGCAATTGGCTAAGAGCTTGAGGCTCAATGGTATACTTTCTAGCAGATATAAAATGTTATGCTGGTGAAATGGGTTGGTGTAGCAAATATAAATTTGGCTCTAAGCTTAACCAGAAATGACTAGCTGGATAGGTCAATACAACAGAACATAAACCATATGCACATAGCTACCATGCTATAATTATACTTGAGCAATGTTGGAGAAAAGTTTGAAACCCCGAATCCTAATCTTATCATATAGTTAACAATGAGTACTTTGAGAAGATCATTATCACGGGATGTGGCGAAATGTTAACAATGCTAGATAACCCTTGAAGCAATTCAGATAAGTTAACCCTAAATCCATTTAGAATCTTTTGAACTCTGGATACTACTGAACACCATAAGTCTCCTGCTGAAAAAATATACATGAAGGAAGAGGGAGAGAAAGAACCTTTAAGCAGTTGAGGTGATTCTGAACGAGCCTCCCATACAAAGGATGACTAGAAATTCTGGTCTTGAGAAGCTCAACGTCATCACTATCTCCAGCTTCTTCCTCCTGGTGATGATCTTCACTCTTGTTGGCCTCCATCTCCAGTTCCTACCTACAAACAACTCCTTAGTTTTGCCATATTTGTAAAGCAAAGATGTTTTATTAAAAGCTAAAAGAACCCCCCTCAGATAGCACTGTCGGTACTATCTGGTAACAAAATTGATCACAAGGCAGTCTCATTTTTGGAATGACCCATGCATGCATATTCTGAAAGTGGTGTCATCATCAGTCAGATAAACGGAAAACGCACTCATTGAAAGTGCTTATCTCTCCCTTTCTCTGCAACGAAAGGAACATCTCAAAGGGTACGTTTCTCGAGTAAAGGAAAGCTTAGCTCGTACTACTCTTTTTTTATTCTTTCTTTTGTAGAATTTTCCCAATCTTTATTTGACGTTTGCACTACTCATTCTCCTCCCACACTTTCTGTAGCAGAAAATTCCAAATTCTTTACTGTTTATCAGTGTACTCTTCCATCACCCAGGACTTGTTCCTTCACTGTTCATTGCCTTCCCTCACTTTTTTAACAGCTGAATTTACGAGATAATATTGTGAGAAAAAAAAATTTACGAGATAACGCGTTTGAACAATTAATTGTTGAGATAGGGTGTTTGTTACAGTTCGAATGAAAGTCGTCGGGTGGTTTGGGCGACCAATGAAGGTCGTCGGGTGGTCTGGGCGACCAACAATGAAGGTCGTCGGGTGTTCTGGGCGACCAATGAAGGTCGACAGGTGATCCATGGAAGAAACAATCAAACAATAATTGTTTGGGTTAATTGCAAATTTGATCCTCATAACTTTACACTCTCATACATGTATTTATTTTAGTCACAAACAATTATAATTTAGTCATACATGTTTCTTGTTTATCCTAATTTAGTATGTATTTATTTTAAAATTGATTATTGGGATATCTTGTTTTGTATTTAGTATGTATTTATTTTAAAATTGATTATTGGGATATCTTGTTTTGTATTCAATAATTTTTATTTGTTCTACGTTTATTTATTTCGAGTATTTTCACTATTTTTTAGTTTTATTTAGTTTTATTTTATATTGGAAAAATTTGCGAAATAATATCGTTGGTAGGGAGAAATAAATACATACTAAAATAGGATAAACAAGAAACATGTATGACTAAATTATAATTAAACATAAATACTAAACAGTGGCTAAAATAACATGTTTACAAATTTCATGGCCAATTTCAAAAATTAAGGAAAATATATAAAACACATGAAATCAGTGATTAAAATGAAATAACTAAAAATATTATGATCAAAATGAAGCATACACAAACTTGACAGAATAAACAACTAGTGACTAAAATATAATTATTAAAATATACATGCCTGAAACAAAACATTAAAAATGTCACTAAATGATTAAACAAATAGATTACAAAGCATAGGGGACCGAAAATGCTATTATCCCCTAAATATTAAAACACACGTATGAGAGTGTAAAGTTGTGAGGACCAAATTTGTATTTAACCCAAACAATTATTGTTTGATTGTTTCTCCCATGGATCACCTGGCGACCTTCATTGGTCGCCCAGACCACCCGACGACCTTCATTCGAACTGTAGCAAACACCCTATCTCAACAATTAATTGTTGGAACGCGTTATCTAGTAAATTTTTTTTTCTCACAACATTATCTCGTAAATTCAGCCCTTTTTTAACCTTGACAATTCGATATCTGTTGCAAATATATATATATATATATAATTAATTAGTAATTAAGTGGAATGTTTTGATGGAGACACGTAGAGAGGACGAGCACGGTTTATGAGGGGCTACAGCTCCTGTCTAATTATTTCAGGGTTTTGGCAGATTGCATAAATGGGGGCATCTTTACTACTTCAATGGGTCTCATATCTAAAAAACTGACCACGGTTGTTTTGATGTGAAAATATTTTTTTAATTAATAAATAAAGAAATATACAGTAAATAGAAATAAAAGTCGATTCCATAAGTACTTAAAAATTTTTAAATTTTTGTTTGAATTGTTAAATTAGGCGTGAAAGTAGTAATAAAGGGGTTTTGATAAAAAAATATTTAAATAATAATAAAAGCGATTTGAAGTAAAAATAAGAAAAATATTTTAAAGTTGAAAATGGATATGGTAAAAACATCCTCAAGTTTCACTCTGACTCAATTTCCTTTAGATCATCGAATTAGATTTTCTTTTCGGAATTTACGTCGGTTACTTTGTCTACAAGGATAATCCCCGTGATTCCATTTTGTATACCGAATACCCAAGACAATCTTTGATTCCGGCTTCGGAAATTGATCTAATCAACATCAATTGTCGTAGATCAATTAACATTTAAGTTCGTGGCGACCGACTCGGATTGTTGCTTCTATAAACGTCAATTCCGATCTCAATTCCATCTTGGCGAAGCTATCTCGCCAAGTGTATTCCCAGGAAGTCGAATGTGCTTTCTATAAGTCGAATCTTCCTCCCATACATTTAATGACAACAACCTCTTAATCAAAGTCGATCTTTGATTTTGAAAACTGTTTTGATTTTGAAAAATAAGCGCAGAAATTGAGAGAGATATTCCAAAGTTATTAAAGGTTTTTTTCAATTCTCCTGTTGAAATGTAGTCATCGCTTCATCTCTCGGCTTATGAAAATTTTAGTTAAACATAAAAAAAGTTATACTTAGCATATTTAAAAACAAAGCTTTAAATAAAAAGAGAAATCGAAAACTTGTGAGAAAAAAATAAATAGAAGAGAAAACTTTAATAAAACTAGAAAGAAGAAGAAAATTGTAATATGAGTTGTGTGTTTATGCTTACCCCAAGAGGGTATTTATAGCCTCTCAAAGCTTAAAGATAAACAAAGAAATTAAAATAAAATAATCTTAAAGATAATTGTTTTTTTCCTAAATTCAAACTTTAAACAGGTCTTCTAATGCAACTCTGCTCGTCCATCGTCCAGAAGGCGTGCTGAGTTGATCTTCTAGAAACTGTCGTTGATTAGACCTTCTAGAAACTGTCACGTCAGACCGTGTCATGCCTAGAGTCGTGCTCATATCTCCAGCCGTGACCAAATAATAAAAAAAAGCAAAATGCGCCCGTTTTATCGCTAATTCTGGAAAGTAAGACCTTGCACGAAAATAAGAATAACACAATCAAATCAACAATAATAAATCCGTAAGATGAAAGAATTTACGAGCAAATACTACCGATTCTAAACACTCATTAAATTCCTCCTCACTTATCTCATGTTTGTCCTCAAGTATGATATAATCAAATAAGTCCAAAAAAATCCATTTATCGTTATTTGTCAAGTTTCACATTCAAGGAAGCAAGGTAGATACCATAAGAATTATTCAAGTCAATAAATCAACCAATTGAACATCAGCAATTGGAATAAGTCAAATGCAATTGTAACATCCATTCATTCATCAATCTCAATGCCTATAACTCAACACATTATTGGGATTCATTCAAATCACTCAATGTGTTTGGGGTATAGAAACGCTTAATGTCAGAACCGACACGATATTATCATAAGCCTACAAATAAATCAAATCTCCACTACTAATAAGAACAAGATACATAAATCAAAGGGTCTTTCATTGGTTGTAACGAGGCTTAGGTAAAGATGGAGAAAAATGCTAATTAATATGGCTAGAATTCAAACCAAGGAACTTGTTAAAAGTTTCAAAGTTTGGCAACCAACTTTGGAAAATATTTTTTTCAAAGTTTGGTAAATGTTTATTTGAAAAATGTTTTTCAAAGTTTGGTAAAATTTTGGTAGATGTTTGTTGAAAATAGGAATGGGTAAATTCACTTTAGTCATTGCACTTTAGGGTATTTTCAAAGATTAGTCCCTAAGTTTCTACTATAAATACCCTTACCCATTTAGCTTCAAAATCATCCCAAAACATTTCTTTCTTCCTATACTAGAGAGCTTTCTTGTGAGTAGTGAGTGTTTTGTAAACACATGTAAATTTTCTCTCTTAGTAAAAGATCTGCAGCAGCCCGGAGACGTAAGCACAATTGGCTGAACTCCGTTATCAATTTTCGGGTATTATTTTTCCGCTTTTATTTCGCATTCTCACTAATCTGGTTATAGGGAAATTACTTGTACTCGGTTTATTTTCCTAACAACTGGTAATCAGAGCTTTTGGTTGTGAATTTTGTCAAATTTTCTGCGAGGTTACTATTCATCACTATTCATGTGAATAGTGAATTTCGTGAATAGTGAAATTCGGTCGGCGATACGAGTTTGTCGACGGTGGTGTTCTAATACACAGTGATTCGCAAGAATTGTCAGAAACGATCCAAACGAAGCCATATTCGAGTGGGAGCGATGGCTGCAGACGAAGGGAATGTGAAAATTGAAAAGTTCGATGGTGCGGACTTTGGCTTTTGGAAGATGCAGATTGAAGATTTTTTGTACCAGAAAAATCTATATCAACATCTCTCAGGAAAGCAACCAGAGGGCATGAAGGATGAAGATTGGGCTCTTCTCGAGAGACAAGCCCTCGGAGTTATCCGACTGACGTTATCCCGCAATGTTGCTTTTAACATAGCAAAGGAAAAGACCACGGCGGGTCTTATGGCGGCTCTCTCCAGTATGTACGAGAAGCCATCGGCCTCAAACAAAGTTCATTTGATGAGGCGATTATTCAATTTGCGGATGGCGGAAGGGGCATCGGTGGCACAACACCTAAATGAACTCAACACAATCACAACCCAGTTGAGTTCAGTGGAAATTGAGTTCGATGATGAAGTTCGAGCTTTAATTCTCTTATCATCTCTACCAGACAGTTGGAATGCTACTGTTACAGCAGTCAACAGTTCGTCGAGAAACATCAAATTAAAATTCGACGATGTTCGGGATCTGGTATTGAGTGAAGAAATTCGACGAAGAGAATCGGGTGAAGCATCAACCTCCTCAGCCTTGCATACGGAGTCTAGAGGGAGAACTTCAGAAAAAAATTCAAATCGTGGCAGATCAAAATCCATAAGGGGCAAATCAAGAACAGGAAATAAAGATTTTACCTGTTATAATTGCGGCAAGAAGGGTCACTTCAAAAGAGATTGCCGAGCACCGAAGAAAAATACCGGCGCACAGGAATCTGCCAACATGACGGAGGAG